AAACAAAACAAGTGTGAAAAGTACTATATAAGAGGAAGACATAGCAATGTAGATTGTTTCTACTTGGCACAAAATTATTTTGAGTTGCCTAGGAGAACGATAAGAGAAAATGCAAATTTTATATGCTTGTTTAAACAAGATTCTAAAAATGTAAATCATATTTATAATGACCATGTTTCAAATGATATGAAATTAGATGAGTTTAAAAAGTTTTGTAATGAAGCTTGGTCAAAAAAGCATGGATTTGTTGTTATAGATTTGTCTTCTGATCTATTAAATGGAAAGTATAGAAGTGAATTAGATTTATTTTATTATCCAACTTCATTGTGGAATCGATAAATATATATTTTTTAAAAAATATATATTATAAGATTTAGCGAAGATTGGGTTCTTTCAGAACTTAGCGAAGCCTGGATCACGAAGTGATCTAAAGAAGAAGACCTAATAAGGGTATATTCTTAAATGGAGAATTTTCTCCTAATAACAATCCTCTACCTACTGATGAATATTCATTTCCATTTTTAGAATAATATCCATCTAAATAATTATAACTACCATTCCATGGGTTTAAAAATACTCCTTTTCCTACTTTTCTAATTTTAAATCCATAACCATTCTTTTTTCCATAAATAATACCATTTCCAGCAATTTTATTAACTATAGTACTTCCAGCAGCTGCAGCTGTTCCAGTCAATAATCCTGTTGCTATAGCCGGAACAACTTTTGATGCAATTACACTTCCAATTAATCCAAGTAGAGGTAGAAATCCACCATTTTTTTTAGCATTATGTTTAAGTTGTGCTCTACTCAGTGAAAGTGTTATACCCTTATTTTTTAAATAGGCTGCTTTCATTCTGTTTCTTTGTGACTCTGTTAAAGCTATTTTGTGTTCACCATTTAAATCTTCATATGATAGTTTTATACTAGCATTAGTATCAGATTCAATTGCTTTTTTAATTTTTTCTTTCTGACTATCTGAAAGATTGATAAGAGTATCATAGTATTTTGTCATTTTTTATATATAAAATAATTTTTTAAATCACTTTGTGATTTTAAGTTATTGCTTTCTGTAATGCTTTATACTCATCATCGTCTATTTGACCCTGTCGTAACAACTCATCACAAATAGCAACAATCTCATTTCTTGTTCCAGTATTTCCTGCTTGTAAAGCAGCTAAGCGTAATTTAAGCATATCAAATAGTACATTTGGATTACTAGGAAGAATGACAACTCCTTGTCCAAACTTTCCAATCATCTCTTCCCAAATAGGTTTTATTACATTAGCGTACTTATAACTTTTAGATGATCTCGGTTTAACTGAATTTAAATCAGAGCGAATTGCATCTGTTTGATCTAAAATTTCTTTATACTTATTACGATCATTGTTAGTATATCTAACAGGATGAGATTTTACTATAATCTCCCAAAGGCCTGGTGTACCAATGTATTTTTTACCTTCAATAGTTATATCATTACCTTCAATAGTTATTGGTTTTTTACCAATGTAAAATTTTTTATCACCTTCATTGTAATGTATACCGAATATATCATCTGATACTTTTTTACTATTTTTAGCAGTATATAACTTTAGATATTCTGCTGCGATAGGTCCTAATGACATTTTATCTACAACTTCAGGTGGCATGATTAATTTAGTTTCAGAATCTAGTAAAGCAGGATAACTTGAAAAAGTATTAGCTATTTGATCAGCTTTATTTTCTAATTTAGATATACCTTCTTTTATTCCAGATTGACTATCTATTATTGGCTTGTACAATTTTTCCAAGTTAGTCTGTAAAGTATCATAACCTAACTTTTCATTAATAGAATCTTGATAAACACTTTTCTTTAACCCATAAAGTTCTTTTGCTATTTTTAATCTTGCATCAATATCTGTAGCTTTTGCATACATTTTTATATATGCAATAATTTTTTAAATCACAATGTGATTATCAGATCCCTAAATGGATTAAATCAACATATATTATGTTTGTAATACATAATATATGTTCAATTAATACATAATATATGTTTATTTAATTCTTAAGAGTATTATTCATCATTCCTATATTCTGATTTTTGTTAAATCTCATATTTAACACTTCTATAACATCATTTGTACCTTTTTCTATTCCTTTATTAAATATTGACTCTTTAGTCTGCTCATCTATATCATTTTTAGATTTTGTTCTAGTTTGTTCGGTCATAGCTTGAAACTTTTCAAGTTCTGAAAGTATCATTGTAAATTCTACATCATCGATAAAACCATCTTTTAAAGCTTTAGAAATATGATCGCTTATCGTATTTAATTTCGCATTAGCTAGTACTTTAATCTTTTCATGCTTTTCTGCTTTTATTGCTAATTTTTTAATAGCTTGTGATCCTATTAATGATAATACACCCATACCTAATGCTGCACCTTCACATGCAATAGCTACTGGTGTTCCAACTATTGTTGTTAAAAAACCAATACCAACAGCTCCTAATGCCATAGTGCTTGCTAGTAATGTATTATCAACTGCTGAAATGATTCTTGAAGCTCTGTGATATTTTTTACTTAGCATAGCTCTTCTATTTCTTTCACATTCCATTTTATTTTGAATTTCACTTATCTTATCTAATCTATATCTCTGATCTATAGATAGTGGTGGCGCAGATGGATTTTCTGAAAACTGGTTAAGATCTGGATAAAGCTGTTTACATTCATTATTACATTGCATTTTCTATAAAGAAAAATTTGTTTTAAATCACTTTTTACCAAAATCAAATAGAGCATTGTCAGATTTATCTATACTAGGTTTATCTTCATCACATATAGCTTCTTTAATTATATCTCCTACACTAGATAATAAAGATTTTACAGATTCTTTATCACTTTTTGATCTAGATTCTACTTTTTTATCAGGTTCTAAAGCAGCTCTATGTGATATATGATTTGTATTAAAAACACCATTATAAGATGAAATACAGCATAACAAATCTCCTTTTTTAATGTTTATATCTTTTTTATCGTTATTATATAAAGTTCTTTTAATATCATCAGTAGACTCTATTACAGCAGAATTTAGTAAATTTAGTGTTGGCTTATAATTTTCTGCAAGTGAAATCATTACATGCCCTTTATCTATTTTAACTCCACACATTAAAGAAATACTATTATATGATTTTGATTTTACTGTAAAATCTTCTTGTGCAAATACTTTAATATGTCTATCATTTATTGCTCTATGTTCTAAATCTGAATTAATATTAAAAGTTATTGTATATTTTTCATGCTTTTCATAATCTAAAAACATTCTTCTCTTATACATTTTTATAAATGTAAAGATTTTTTTAGATCACTATAAATATAATACTTTTAAAGTATGATATTTTTTCATTTTTTTAAAGTTCTAACAATATAATTTAAAATACTTTCACCTTGATGTAAAAAATAACATGTTTTATCACTGTTATTTTTATATATTGTTTCTATTTCTTCTTTTTTATTTTTCTTTAATTTACTCTCTACTAATTTACATGGATTATAATGACAAATTTCAACATTTTCTTCAATTTCTTTTTTAGAATGAGCATATTTGCAATTTATATTTTTACATTCTTTTTTATCAAGAATATATTTGCATAATTTAGTTTTAGCTTTTCTTAATTTAGATAATTCTGACTTTTTAGGATGAAATAATACACACTCTTTATTCCTACATTTAGGATAATCATAGCAAATATGAATATGTCTATATTGACATGAAGATTTAGTGCATATTAGTCTTTCCTTTACAGTATTACAATAAGGAATATCATGATTGTATTTACATTTTCTTCCAAAAGGGCAGAAATTATCATTTAAAATATTTTTACAGAAAATGGGTAGTTTATCAACAAAATGAATTGTTGAAGGTTTTCCATCTTCAGTAAAATTAATATCTACATTAAATGGTTTTTCAAAACTAAATTTTCTTTTTTTGTAATGTTTTTTAAAAGAAGTATTATCTATAGCAGGATAATCATCATTAATAACATTATAAGTTGGAACATAATTAATCCATTTCAGCTTATCTTTATGCAGTTCCATGATTTGAACTGTTTTTAAAGGAATTGGAACTATAGGTTTTTCTTTAACTTCATCTTCATCATCAGATGTAAAATAAGTAGCTTCATCAGATGTATAATAAGTGTCATCTTCAGAATCTGATTCTTCAAATTCAAATTTTAATATTTCTTCAAAAAGTTTAAATTCTTTTTGAAATTCAGATATTTCATTAATCTCATCATCATTCATTTTTATTTTTATTATTTGTAAAAATATTTTAAATCAAAAAATTAAAAATGAGTTAAATAATTTTCTTTACATAATAAAAAGAATGGAAAATAAACTTGAAGAATTATTAAAATTAATAGATGAAAGATTAAGATTAATAGAAGAAAAATTAAATATTATTGATACTCATGATATTGAAATGACTGAAGATGAAGAAGTTACTACAGTTACTACTACTGAAGTTACTGAAATTACAGAAATTACTGAATATGATAATGATATTGAAATGACTGAAGAAGATGATGAAGATTCTGAAGTTACTACAGTTACTACTACTGAAGTTACTGAAATTACAGAAACTACTGAATATGATAATGAAGATGATGAAGATGAAGTTGTTGTATTTGATTATGAGACTACACAGAATTAACAATCTTTTATTATTTTATTTTTTTTACAAAAATAAAAAAATTGAAAATGAGTTAAATAATTTTCTTGTGTATATAAAAAAGAATGGAATTAGAAAATTATTTTGAGAATAATAAATTTTTAATAAAACCTTCAACTCAGGTATATTATATTACTTTAATATTAAAAAAGTATAAATATAAAAATTTGTATAATAAAGTTGACTTTGCTGCAAGTATAAGGAAGATTGAACTAATTAAATTATTAATTAAATTGGGAGAAAAAGGTACAGAACATGCAATTGATAATGCTGCTAAAAGTGGAAATTTAGATATGATTAAATATTTACATGAATTAGGGTATAAAGGAACAAAATGGACAATTGATAATGCTGCTAAAAGTGGAAATTTAGATATGATTAAATATTTACATGAATTAGGGTATAAAGGAACAAAATGGACAATTGATAATGCTGCTAAAAGTGGAAATTTAGATATGATTAAATATTTACATGAATTAGGGTATAAAGGAACAAAATGGACAATTGATAATGCTGCTAAAAGAGGAAATTTAGATATGATTAAATATTTACATGAATTAGGGTATAAAGGATCAGAATGGACAATTAATTATGCAATAGATAATGCTGCAAAAAATGGTCACCTTGAAGTATTAAAATATTTACATTCTATAGGATATAAAGGAACAGAAGATGCAATAGATAATGCTGCAAAATATGGTCACCTTGAAGTATTAAAATATTTACATTCTATAGGATATAGAGTAACAGAATGGACAATTAATTATGCTGTAGAAAATGGTCGCCTTGAAGTATTAAAATATTTACGTTCACTAGGATATAGAGGAACAGAAAAAGTCATGTGACGTCATGCAAGAAAATCACGTCACATTTTTCGACAAGAAATAAAAAATTAACACTTATTTTAAAAAATTCAATTTTTTCAAATTTATATAAATTTGAAAAATTATTTCTTATATAAATAATTATTCCCATCATGGTTAGAAATAAACCCTATATTTTTTAAAATATATGGTTGAAAATATGGTTGAAAATGAAAATGGCCTAGAACCGGCAATCTCTTACTACTCAAGTTGCCGTACTGTATATGTCATTTTAAAAGATTTTATCAAATTTTCAAGCATAATTTTTACCGCAATCGTTGCGCCATAGGGACCCATCTTTTACCCAGTTCAAATCCCAGCCATAACTCAGTTCCAGTAATCCAGTTACATCCGAGCTGAGACCCTGTTGTTGTGGTTAACTGGACAGTTAATCATGTTTATTATTAGTTACTATTATTTACAAATAATTCGCTATATAAATTATTGAAATATTTTTTCATATAAAATCTTATACTACAAATTAAAATTTCAGTTATAATATCTATAATATATACTCAAATATATCTATTATATAATATTGCGAAACTTAATAGTAGTAGTACGTTTTCGAGCCTGTTTGACACGGTAACCTTAGCAGCCATTGCAAGCAAAGTAATGGCAAGAAAGAGTCGTAACACTTTGTTTTATAAGAAAACGTGATTTTCAAAAAGAAAACATTATATTGCATCTAAACATGTGTCAAAGTGAATTGCATCATCACCAGATTATGCATATTGTATATAACAAATCCTTTACCATATATTTCTTCAGATTTTAAAACAAAATATATAAGAAGTTCTTTTGCGCAAAGGGAATGAGCTCTTCTTTCTTCGTTAACTGAACTAACCAAAATAGAAATTGAAACACCAAGTGTCATGAAAGATCGCATTGTGCTTTGGAAAGTATTTTTTTAAGTACTACAGGATCAGTAAATAACAAAAACTGCCTGAACTCAGTAGCTTTGTAACGAAGAAGATCTTTTAGCGACTTGGGATGTCTTGCAAAGTCGCTTGTAAGTGTACTTTATAGTTTTTCTAGGTGTGAACTGATTTGCTTTTTTTGCTTTTGTGATATTCTACATTTGCTTGGTACATCCTTTGTTATAAACAGCAAAATATGCTTGACTACACCCAAACAGACTAAGTGCATATAGTCCAATATCAAGTGATTTACACATTTTACTCCAATAACAAGCAAAGGGCTATGCTTTATTTGATGTTCTGGTTTATTGCAGGCATTAAGTTCTTCATCTAAACGCAAAGCATTATGGTATTCTAAAAATAGCATTTTTCCTTGTTCATAAATTTCTTTTGTAAGACAGCGCTCACAACCATAGTAACCGTTATGAGCTTTCACACATTTTAAAAACTGCCTAGCTGGAGCATCACAAATAAATCCTGTAAGTTCAAAATTAAAAAATAAATCATTATAAAATATGTCTTACGATTTCAGCATTTGCACTTCATAAATGAAATCACTAAAATAATCTTCTGCACTATTTGGTTACCAGACCCATAAAGTACTGCTATAATGAAGAATTGTAAATTTTCGAACATACCAAGAATGGGTCATATTTGAGTAGCAGAAGATGTAAATAGAGGAACACCGTCAACATTTACTTTTAGCTTAATTGTTGAAATTTTATGACAATTGCTAACCTCTGTAATATACCGCATTTAATACCATAATACATGAAAGTTCCCCTACATTTGTTTTTATACCTGACAGTAGATGGGTTTTCTAACAAAGTTCTTGAATCTTTAGGTAACTTGTGTCCATATCTCGTAAGTAAATTTAATAATTCATTAAGTGCATGCTGCGTACACTTATGCTTCGCAGCCCATTTAGCAAGATGTTCTGACATAGTTATAATGTTTATAACTTTGGCAATTCTATTACTTTTTTTGTAGATGTCGATGTTATAGATTTGAGCAATAAAAATACTTCACTAAAAAGAACACAAGGTAGTTATCACTTTAATTTAAAAAGTTTAATGTTTAATTTATAAAATTTAATTTAGTTATCACTTTAATTTAAAAAATTGCATGTTACCGTTCAACATGCAATTTTTTAAATTCTTTGTGTGTTATACCTAAAAAGCAAGAAAAAGTATATTAATTTAAAAATTTAATAGGTTGTTTTATTTTACAGAGTCTGACGAATCAGAGGTAACCGACAGTAGTGAAAGCTGTATTATTGAAAATAGTGGTATATTTTATTTGACATGCGACTTAATTGAGCAAAAATTATAATTTTTGAAGTTTTTTAAATTAAATTTGTTTATTAAATATGCTATTGGTAAGATTAACAAAAAAATTCATACTATATATAGGATTTGAAATAATCGAATGTCAAAAAAATCTAAAACCGACAAAAGCAATAATAGGTATATTTAAAGAATTGGGAGACAGCAAAATATACGACTACTCATTATAAGAAACACTAGTTGATTGTCTGAATGATGAAATAGTTTACATTTACCTGAGTTTACTTGCAAGTAATCAAGACAAGGTAAGATTTATTAAAAATTACGCAACTATGTATTAAAAATATTTTAATGTAAAATTTGTAAAATACATAATCTAAAAACTAAAATGAACTCAGAGTTCACAATACAATATTTCTTGTTAAAACATTAATCTACAATTTGTTATAAATTTAACATTGTAACATGGTATACAATAGTAAATCCGTGAATAAACTTTTTTTTTTCTTTTTTTTTTTTTTGCATGTAAGAACAAAATTGAAGTATTAGCACCAGATTACTATCACAAGAAATGTTACCAAATAAAACAGCTTTGATTAGAAGGAGAAATTTGGTATTGAAAATTTTCACTAGAAGAGAAATTGTTAAAAGTTATTAAAATCTGTGAAGCATTAATTGAAAAGTAAGTATACATAGATAGGCGTAACAAGGCATATGGGAGTCATATTTTTTCGTTTAATCAGACACATGAAGAGATTCATGTACATATGGCTGTTGTAAGCTCGGTGCAAGTATTATTATAATCCCATTAACTATTACGTTTGGGAGAGGGAAAAAAAAATACTTCGCATAATTGCCTGGTAATGCTAAATGTTTATTCATAAAACATTTGGTATTTAAATGAAAATCTTATTTGTATGCAGGATGAGTTGTTAAAATTAGATATTCTTATGTGCTGCGTTGTAGCAAAACAACATTGGACGCTCACAGTGAGTAAACTCTTTTTTATTTAACGACCTGTGTTAAAATGAATGAATGAAATGGATTATATAAACTACACAATTAAGTATCTTAAAGTATACAAATAATAAAAATAATATTTATAAACATATATATTTCAAAATAAAAATACAAAATTTTATTTAAAATGAAAACAAACATTATTAAATTGGAAAGAAACTAGGATAGAAATAATTAAATTGTTTTTATCCTTCCAGATAATCAAACCAAAGGAAAAGAGCTTTTATTATGTTAATCCTCTAGGTAAACTCTTACCTTCAATAAAAAAAGAAGAAATAAAACGGAAGTATGAAATTACTAAATAAGCAATGCAAGCCTAATATTGTATAAAATTTGATACATTATGATTATTAATTATTTTGATAAAGAAACTATTTTCCTTTTTTTTAATTTCAGTAACTATTTGAAACAAAGATATGGAACTTCAGAAATGTTTAGGATATTGACATTGCAACATGCACTGCAAACAGACAGCATATCGTGTGGAGTCTTTTGTCTTAAAGTAATGTGAAATTTGTACTTGTTTTTTAAATTTTTTACAATTCTTATTAAGAGCATATAGTTTTTTCATTTTTAATTTAATTGTTATTTATTTTTACAAAACTTATAAATCCAAAAATATCACTGTTTCAGCACAAGGATAGCAACAAATTTCCTTAAAAACATATCCAAAGCTGCCTCAGTTATTTTGTGTAATGAGTCTAGAAAATGATTGAAAATAAGTTCAAACCCAGCCAGTGTCAATCAGAATGTGTAGTACTCATTTTCAATCAATTGACGTTTACCAATTGAGATATTTAAACTCTAAACAAATACAGCTCTATTACCATAAATGCCTATCAACAAATTTTTAATTCAAGTAACTATCTCACACAAAAACAATGAAAAAAAAAAAAGGAAAAAAAAAAAAGATCAGTAATTACCTTGTTTTTAGGCGATTTAAAATTCCTGTCTTCCAGCCTTATGAAAAAATTTTTCTCTAATTTTTATGTAGCTCAATCTGAGCCCTATAGTAATAACAAGAGTTTTAAATTTAAATGTTTTAGTTTGCCGAAAATTTTATAAATGGAGAAGAATTGGCAATGTCTTTTCCATTAGAAGAAGTAGTTCTATATAGAAACAAGGTGGTGCACTTTCTTATATATAGAGGAGGTTTGTTATTTATTAAATTGTTTAATAAAAATTCAAAATATACCTGTAAATAATTAACAGACAAAATTTTAACTCAGGTCAAAATAATTGGAAAGACATTTTGTGTCGCATATGTGGAAATGCAAAAGGACCGAAAAAATGTAAAAAGCAAATAATAGATAAATGAGTATATGATTTTAATATCTTTAAATCTCATTATTTGTAAATTAATAATCATAAAACTGTATATGATTTATTTATAGATTAATTGTGATAAATGCTTACTAAATCGATGGTATCACATTGACTGCATTCCAAATTTCACAGAAAGTAGCAAATCGTTTTCTTGTACAAACATTTCTCTTTGAAACAATCAAGTAAATTAAATAGTAGAATATATAATCAGAGTAAAAATAAATCAAATAGTTAGAGTAAAAATAAAATTCCATAATTATAATTTTAAATAACAAATTTTTAAGTTATTTTGATAAAAATTTTCACGATATTGTTTTAATAATTTTATATAAATTATTATAATTTTTTATTACATATATAACATATAAATCTTGATTATTGTATAAAAAATGTATAAAAGAAGAAAAGTATAATAATTATACTTATGTTTTGTGCTAGTAATGAACTTGTCCTTTTTTACTCCATCAGTGTTTACACATAAATGTGGCTCTATCTTTTCAATGGCACTCAATTTTCAGTTTCAAATGGCAGAAATAAAAACGAGTTTAAAATAAAACCTTTCTATACAAAAAAGTTTAATAAAAAACAAACAAAGAAAAAAAAAGTCAATAACAATATTACTTGTATATGCAATAGTATAAGGACTCAAATAAGATTAATTTTTACAGGTATAATACAAAACTTACCTTTTTAGTAGCAGACTGACATAGTGGGACAAAAAGAAAACTGAATATCATAAAACAATTTATAAATTTTATAATAAATAAAATTACACTAATAAACCTTTATATTTATTCTAAAACTTCATGTTTATGATTATAAATGTGGTTTTCCAATAGTAAATAAACATGAATAACAAACAAATATAAAATAGATATAACAAATAAACATGAATGTATAAACATAAAAAATAAATAAACATGACAAATAAACATGATTATATAAAAAGCTTTAAGTTAAGTTGTAAAAACTAAAAACTTACCTTCTGCCAGTAATCTTTATCTTTTTCATTGATTTGACAACAACCATCCAGAAAACACCACACTATCACAAGATGAGTCACTAAAATTGAACATAAATATAATTTTTTAAATACATTTAAGTGACAATAAAATACAAAAATTACTGCCACTCAATAGCATCCCATGTTAATTAATTTAATAGGAGGTAAAAATTCAGACACAAGTTCAATGATTTACAAGAGGGAGGTGATAATTCAGACAGATAAGAAGAATTTTTTTATTATTTTCAAGTAAATATATGACTAATTAATTAAAAATTTTTTAATCTCTATCATTATCACACAATACCATTTTCAAACCATCTCATTATAAATGATGTATTAGGGAGGAGGTATTAATTTAGGTGCAAGTTTAGTGATTTAATAGTGGGGAGGTGATAATTCAGAAAAATAAAAAAGTATTTGTAGAGTATTTTCATGTAAATGTATGACTAATTATTTGTAGTTTTATAATTTTTATCACTATCACTAAATAATATTATCACACCATCATATACTGGTTGATTTACTAAAGGGAGGGAATATTTCAGGCACAAGTCTAGTGATTTACTAGGGAAAAGGTGATAATTCAGACAGATAAAAAGAATATTTGTAGAGTATTTCAAGTAAGCAAATGACTAATTAACTTACAGTTGCATAATTTCTATCACTATCAATAAATAACATTATCACAATATCATTTCGCATGTTCGTGCCGTCTCATATCGAGTGATTTACTTAGACTTAGTCTAAGGTAATAAATCAATAATTTTATGTAAATATGTAACAAGTTAGTTTACAGTTATATAAATTTCTACTATTATCAATTTTTATTATATAACGTTTCTTATATTACCTATCAAAAATATAAAGTTGAAATCACAAGAGACCAAGCAAACTTTAGTTCTCGAATTCTTGTCCTCAAAGCGTCTCTCTCGTTGTTTATGTTTATGTTATGTCAACACGGACGTTTTAGGAACACCTCTAACAGCTATAGCCTGAAAGCGCAACCTCGTTTTGAGTTTTCAATGGCGGATGTAATAACTTAGGTGGAAGTCAAATCAAATAAGTTATTTGATTTGATTTCGTATTGAATTAGCTTATATTTTTGTTTTTAATTTGCTTAATTGTGAATTTGCATAACGCACACTTTTTGACTTAGTTCGGGTCATTAACTAAGTAAATCTTAGATGCTAAGGTTTACTTAGCTAAGTAAATCTTAACTAGACTTAAACTCTAACTAATTAGTTAAACCTTGTTTAAAAGTTTTTAAAAAACAAGATATTTAATATTAGCTCAAACACAAACAAATTGCTTATAAACAGAATTAATTTCTACACAAATTTAATCAAAATAATAAACTTTCTAACTTTAATTTCTATAAAACCACATATAACCAGAAAGTTTGGTAAGAAACGATTATTTTGTTTACCTTGTTTGACTTACAACATGGCGCAGCTAGAGCGTTAATTATGCCATGTCATCATCCGAAAACTTTCTATAAAAAACTTCATTGCGAATGAGTAATATTTTTAAAAAAACGACCAAACTTAAGAAGGAAACTTTTTTTAAAGACGCTTTTTTTTTTATAAGGAGGAAGGGGGGGGGGGGAAACGCCTTTCACAAAAATGACGACTGACTTACGAACAAAAAAAACATGTTTTTTCAATAGTATATAGACATAACAGAAGCCTTTTAAACAAAGTAACAACTTCGAACTATTTTTTAATAAATACACACATTTAAAAGATAATAACAAAAAAAAAAAAACTTTACAATTCTTTATAGTAATGTAAACAAAAGAAAAAAAATAAAATCTTTTGTTTTGTCAAAAATCAAATATCAGAAAGCAAATGAGGAAAAGTGAAGATGAAAATGAAAAATAATGAACAAAACAATTCCTTTAATTTATAATTTGATTTAATTTGTTAATAGTTCAATTTTTCTTTTGTTTAAAGACTAAAGAAAAAAAAATCATAAAATTTATAAAAATAAAAATATAATTATATATTTTTTTTCAATTTGCATTCTTGCAAAAAAAAAATTATTATATTTTGAGTATGTTAACTTTAATTGATGATTTTTTTATTTAAAGACGAAAGAAAAATAGATTAATACTCTAATGTAAACAAATCATTAGCAATGAATTGTTACTTTATTTAAAAGCGTTTTAATAAGGGGCTGTTCAAATAATACGTGACATTTTTTTAGACATTTTCAGAAATTTCTACCCCCCCTCCTATGTGACACTTAGTGGCATTTTTAAAAACTCCCCCACTCCCACCCCTGTGTGACGTGACAACGATAAAAGTTTGGAATTTTCATAAGTGTTTATTTAATTGTAACGGTTCATATTTAAAAAAAAATACAATTGACATGTTTCTGTTTAAGAAACATGTCCTAAATTTGTTCCCAAATTGGACTTTGACCTTCAAGTATTGGAGTTCCATGCTCTTCAATAATTATTGAAGGCCAGTTGAGATCAGAGGTATCAACATCGTCCTGATCATGCCATTCAATTGTTTCTTTGTCTGAATTTAAAAAGACACACATGAGTTCAGATAGAGGTTGAGCAACTAGGCGATAAGGTTTAACTTTTTGAATCTCATTCGATTATCCGATACTTGAGCAAACTGTTTTGTGCTGTTTCATTGATTTGATAGTGGCAAAATATAGACTACAATTGTTACAAATTCTTTTTGGTAAGGAACTTTGAATGCTCGGACATGAATAGTCGTTTGGCAATCCTTTGGGAAACTTTTTTGTAATTGTCTTGGGAAAAATTGTTTTGCTTAGTGATAAGTTTAAAAAGAGGTTTGCAAAGTTATTCTTTGTATTATTGCACTCAAGGCCATTTTCTCCTTGGAACAAAGAAATTGGTGAAGGAAGAAAACCAGTTGGAATAAGATGGAACAGTGAGCTGCGACGATGACCACAGCAGTTTTGATCATTACATTTTACAATTTGAAGCAAGTATTGACTTTCTTTAACATGTTTAGCATCCCATTCTGCTCCAAACTGCTTTAATTGTACACGATTTTCACTGTTTGGTTCTCTGTTCTCTGCAATAGTTTCAAATCCATCAATGACTGTGCTGGACCAAATTTGTGCAAGAACTTCGCCAGCTTTGGAAAAATTTGCCTTCTCCACAAGTTTGTTTGTAGTTTCTCCTCTTGAATTAAGATGGCTTCCAAAGTGATTAAATGGAAGTATAATTCCTGCAAGGTCATGGCTTAGCAGAGCCATTCTTCTCTCTACCCTGTTAAAGGCACTTCTGCCAGGAGCATTAGTTGCCACAAACATTCCATCAAGGTCATGCTCTTTGAAATAAGTCTTGGCACAATGAATTGTTTTTTCATATCTTGGATTTTTGTCTGGCCCACCATCAACAGTTTTGATTATGACTGGTTTGCTAACTTCATCTTCAGTAAATAAGCTGCTTTTAAATGCAGGAAGATGGTTGATTCTATTAATGTCTTCTAAGCGACTAAGCGCTGTTGATGAATCACGTTTTGCACTTCTGATTGCTATGTATGTTGGGCCAGAGTATGTGACTGCTTGTATTTCCATGCAATCTTTTTTGATTTCTGTGGCTGCAATTACTGAAGGAATAAGTTTGTGTTGAGGAGAAATTACAAAATCATGATCAGCTAAAGTCACCTTGTACTCCATATGCATCATGATTGGTGCTTGTTTGTTTGCAGCTGTCAATCCAAGTGGCACTCTAGCTTTATCATCCTGGGAATGAAATGTCACTTCTTTTGGACAAAAGACTCCAGCAAGTTCTTCAAGGGCACTGATGGATGATTTGGCAAATTTTGTGTCTGCATGATATTTATGCTCAGAATTTTGTGCTCTTATTAGTCTAACAGGTGCAGTTTTAACATGTCTTTTTCCATCTGTGCTCAAAGATCTGCTTGGAAGTAATCTTAAGTAAACACCTGATCTGGAAAGATTGTAACCATGGTTTTTTAATTCTTCAACCAAGTCATCTAATGTTTTTATAGTTCGAACAACTTCAGTTCTTCTCCTATCATCAGAAGCAGAACCTTTCAAGGCAATATCTACAATCGTTTTAATTAAACTGTCCTGATCACAGGCTAGCAGTCGACCTTTTGATACCGTATTTTTAACACAACTTTTTTCTAATATCCGGATCTAAAGCTTCTAATCCTTTTTTTCTTTTTAGCCTGGTTGCTGTTTGACGTTCAGTGGCTTTTTGACAAAGTACAAGATCTTGGTTTTTTTCTATCAAAAGCTTTTGTTTTTGTCTTAATATATGATGGTCCTCTTATGACAACAAGTTGCAGTTTCTTTTTTCAGTAAAATATGCGATATCTTTTTGCAAAATAAAAATTTCATTCTTTTACTGATCTTGTTTTGGCGCAGGTCTTTTTAAAACTTTTAACGAATTGGAGTTTTCTTGTAAGCCTTTTTCACTGTCTTCACTATTTGTAATTGATGGGGTTGCATCAGTCAAGTCATCAAAAGTGATTTTAGATTCAATCACAAGCTTTTTTGGTGTATAGTTTTGTAATTTTGTCCAGTAAGATAAAATATCAACTTTATTTCGAAGTTCAATTTGCTTTAGATCTTTCAATTTTTTTTCAACTTCTACATTTATATCGAGTAATGTTTTGCTTTTTGCTTTTTGCTTTGATCTCAGACCAGATTTTATTTGTTTCTTCTTGAGACTTTTGCTTTGGTTTGTTTGTAAATGCTTTTAAACATCCTTCATAAATAGATTTGTAAAGTTGTTCCTTTTCACTAGACATTTTGATTCTATAACAACAACGACAATAAATTTATTTTCCTAACAACCTTTAATTAAAAACAAGCACATTATGAATTAATGTTAACAACAGCATTATTAATACTTAAATTCGTTAACAGTCTAACTAATTTATTGAATAATAAAAATATAAATATAAAATAAAACGTAATAATAAAATAATAAAGTAATTAGAGCAATAATTTGCAATAGAGTGACACAAAATATTAAAAGTAATACTAATAATAACATTAAAAATAGAAAATATCGTTTATGGATTATATTTGAAGACCTAATTTTAAGCGAAAATAACACTTAACTTTTTAGTTTATTAATATAAATAGTGTTGAAAAAATAAAATATGATTTTTGATAGTAATATAAATCATTTTTAGATACTTGCCCACTATCTAGTTTTATGTTCGTAGGATTAGAGTTTCTTTTTATGCGTACAATTTCCACAAAAATAATTCTGTACGGAGGAAATATAAATTAATCAAATCCAATCATTTAACAAAAACAAAAATTTGTGTAAAATGAAAGTTAAACATAAAACGCTCGCTATTCGTGAAGTCGTTGCATATAATTTTTCTCGAAATCAGTATTATATATAAATACCTCCGAGTTTGCATTATAAACTAATTTAATTACGCATGAATTTAAAATGTTTTTTGTCACGTCACACTAAGGCAAACCACTTCCCTCCCCCATGTGACATTTAGTGACACTTTCTAATACTCCCTACCCCCCTCCTAAGACTGTCACGTATTATTTGAACAGCCCCTAATGTAAAAACGTTAGTAAATATCAAATTTTAATTCAAACGGCTGTCTTTAATGCAAGTAAAAGTTCTCAACAAATTTATACAACTTTCATTTTAAGAGTATAAATGAAATTAATACAACTTTGGTCCATACTTTAAATCAAAACCTTAACAGTAATTTTTACTTTATTTAAAAGTATTTGCTAATATAAAAACTTTAGTAAAAATAAAAGTTATTTATTTTTGAAGTAACTAAAAATTATATTTTTCAGCGCATTTTTATTACGTTAAAAACTGTGGTCAAATTGTCAAAATAAGGTATTATTTGCGTGATCATATTATGGCGTGCGATCGCACGCCTTTCTGACCAAGACTGAGATATCCGTACACAGTGTACAAACATATA